GTAGTTGCAACTATTAGAAGGAGAGTATATTAATATCCAATATCTATCCCAAACCGCTTTTTTTGGATATGGCTTTTTAAAAAGGACAATCTGGTTGAATTTTTGGCTTGGCTTTTTGGATAAATCTCTGTTTTTAAATCCACAAAATAATAAAATAATAAATTAAGACAAATAGATTAAAAGTTCAAAGATTGAGACACCACTTAACTATCCCACTAATCCATTGTTGTCTTATAATAATAACAAGTACTTTTTGTAATTGCTGTCAATAATATCCAACTAGAATCTCCATACTGATTACACTTACTGATGATGACAAAAAGAACACCTCAACAACGAGTGTACTATAATATCCAAAATTCCTCTCTAACCGTAAATTTTAAATAAACACAAATCATATAAAATTGTAAAAAACTAAAAATCCAAATTTATAGGTTTATCAACAACATAAAGTGTCGTTTCTGAAATACTGTAGATCTAAATTCGAGTTTGAATATAATTTTTGTATATTTTTACAATTTATTTTGTTGTGATATGAGAATTGATTTGGGGTATTTTATTGTTTTGATAAATTATTGGGTGAATATATGTGAACAAAAATTATATTTATCTATGTTAGAAAAATCATTTCTCTTTTATTCTTCATCATACTCCTCATCATGTTTTTTACTTATCTCTTTATCAAATCCCATTCTCACTACATCCTTTTCATCATAATTCCTCGCAAATTCATTTATCTATTCAGATTAAATTTTTTACCCCTTAAAAGTGATTTTCTATTCTTCATTTTACTTGAGTTTTTCGATGATTTCTTCTTAAAAACTGTGTTTCATTTTTTTCTGTCTACAGATTTCACATATTATAAACAACAAAAGGTTTAGCATTTGCTATTACAATGTCTGATAATGTGATAATGTGTGTCGTTTGTTGCCTGTTTGAATTGGCAGTAATTAAAATAGAAATTTATTAGTATTTCAATGAAAAATACGAATTTTCATACATGTGGTGGATATGTTTGTCAAACATCAATTAAAATATATATATATGTGTATATATATATATTTCAAATATCATCATTTTACTACTTTCAGCTTTTAATGTTAAAAACATAAATAAATTTCCGGTGTTTATTACAACTAGGTAGAACTGAACTACTAAAATACGTTTCTGTCAATAGAAAATTCAGATGATCTATTAATTGCTTTCAAAATCAATCACTAATCGCCTTGGCATTAGCAGTGCTTTAAATTTAAAAAATTAAATAAACACACAAATCATATATAA